CAATACGTGTTTGTTCGATCAAGTTGTACTAGATTATAAACAAATTATCATAAATAGTTTTATTCTCATAATATTGCTTAATAAGTTTTTCTAAATAAACATCTAAAATCTTGCATATAATAAACATCTACAAATTTAAAGTCTCAACCCTCTAAATTTAATTTTTATATTTAAGCAAGAGATTACACTTTTTTTTTTTTTTTCATGTAATAAGATTATTATCAATGAATGTAAAGTAGTATAATGTTAATCATCTATCGTTCAATGATCCAACTCAATAAATATTAATATATACACCTATTTGTTTATAATTTGTATTTTTATGAACAATAGTTATTTTTTAGGTACTAATTTTATGTATTTTAAAATATGTATAACTGCATTCATATGTTGCTATTATCCATTATGAATAAATTAGTTGATAATACTTAATGCGTAGACAATGCGTATTAAATACATCAATATTCTCATGAGTCTTTAATATCTTATTTATCAACTATGATTTAATATGATGTAATAGATACTTTTAAACTTTATTCCATTGGTATATTAGGTGATTGACAAACTAACATATATTTCTTGTAAAATAGTTTAAGATATTTTTTTGAGATAAAAAATATTCTTTATTGGATTTAGATAATTCAATCCCTAAAAAATATTTTAAGAGGCCAAAATCCTTTATTTCAAACTCCTTTTATAAATATTCTTATTAAACTTTACTTTCCTCTTGATCATTCTCTTAACAATCATATTATCCACATATACAATAAGTACAACTATTTTACCTCCTTGTTTCTTCAAGAATAAAGTATGATATAATGTTCATGGGATTGTTTCAACACATGCAAATTCTTTGCATACCTTTTTATTATATTTTACAAATACCATGAAACCTGGTAGGAGTTCCATATATACTTTTTTTTAGTTAATTTTCCATGTAAAACTATTGTTTATATCAAATTACTTTAATGATCAATCCAAATTAGTTACTAAAGATAATAATAATTGAATAATATTAATTTTTGTTACTGAGCAAATGTCTTTACGTAATAAATCTCACATGTTTTGATATATTATTTTTCACAAGTCTTGTTTTAAATCGTTCTATTGTGTCATTTTCTTTGTATTTAACAACGTAAATTCATTAACATCCTATTGAATTTTCTTTTTGGGTGAACAATCAACAAAAGTCTAAGTTTTATTCTTTTGAAGTGAGTTATTTTTTTCATCCATAGTTGTCTTCCATCTTTGATCAGCTAACACCTATTACATATTGTTAAAAATAAATACAATAAATAATTGATTCATAATATTTTAATTGCTTTGATAGTCTATGATTAAATACATAGTAATTCATAAAATATTTAACTTTATTAGAAAGTTTAGATTCATAAGTAAGTTTACGAATATTTATAGTAAAACGATTTGTCAATTATTATTTGATCAACAAATAATTGCTAAGATTTTCAATAAGAAATTCATGTGGTACTTCTATATTATCTTCATGTACGTATTCACGTCATAGTTTAATGTTAGTTGTATCCAAAAATTCTTGTGATACTTAATGTTATCTTTAGTGAGAAATTTTTTATGATACTTCAATGTTAGTTTCTTCTTCATCTCCTACAGGATAATAATATGAAGTTATGTCACTTAGATCCATATTCTAGAGTTTGAATTTCCTAGATTTTTTGTTGATTCTCTCTTGAAAACTTGACTGAGATAAAATACAGTGTGTTTTCATAGAAAATCATATTTGTTGTTGTATACATATAATGAATAAGAGGATAATAATAGGTATAACATTTTTTTATACAAAACATACCTCACAAAAACATATTGAATAGCCTATGAGGCTAACTTGTTGTATTAATGCTTATGAAGATGAACAAATATAACGTATTATAGAATAAATTATAAATTATTAAGGTGACAGACTAAATTATGTAAATTTTTGAAGATGTGTCTTAAGTTCAATATATCTTAAAGGAGTATGATTTATTAAATATACTACGGAAGAAAAAACTTCTTTCCAATAACACATTAATATGTGTGTCTCAATTAATGAAACTTCTAATAAATATTGATTTTTTTTTCTCTTAACAACCTCATTTTATTAAGTTGTTTTAAAACAAGTAGTTTGATTAATGATTCCATTATCTTTTAAATATTATTATAGTTCAAAATTGGTATACTCTCTACCATAGTCACTATGCAAAACCTTAATTTAAGCATCATTTTTAGTTTTTTCTCATTTTATGAAAATTTTTAAATAATAAACTTACCTTAGTATTTTTTATTTCATTAAGTAGTCAATTCATTATGTTATAAACTTGAATTCTAAACCTTAAACCAATTAGATTCACATAAAATTTGGATTTTTTATGGACCTCATATATCAAAATATAGTACCAAAAAAGGTTTATGACTTCTATTTAAAATTAATGAAAATAAAATTTTATTACGCTTTGCAAATTCACAAACATTAGGATGAAAACTCTAAATATCATACTTTTTAAATAAACTATGAAATATTTTTTTCAAAATACCTAAATGAGAAATGATTAAGGCATGGATGATACAATCATATTTAAGATTGTTTGTTCTCCCCTTGGAGTTATCCATTATCAAGACTTGTGACTCATTATAGTTCTTCGTTATTAGGTCAAAATAATATAAGTTTTATCTCCTAATATCATAACCAATTATTTGATTTGTTTGAATGTCCTTAAAAACACAAGAGTTATGACAAAAACATATTGTACAAGATAAAACATATGTTATTTAAGAAATAGATAAAAGGTTAAAAATTAAAGAAGGATCAATTAAGACTCGAATCAAAAATTAAAATATCATTAAGATTTAAATATTATTCTTAAATAATTGGGACATGGTTTTTGTTAGTAGTAGAAACATGTTTTGTACACACAATTTAATTTTTTTGACTTGTAATCAAAATTCATATTATTTATAGCTATAGAATCAATTACCCATGTATCATTAAAAATATTAAATTTTTTTCCAGAAAATTCATAATTGCCGTGAAAGAAGCCATTATTTCAACACTATCAATATTTTTTTTTGTTTGGATAATATTAATGATCTCACCATTATAGATATCCAACTAATTAAATCAACAATTTTGTGTGTGTCCCATTTTATCATAATGGGTACATTTATGGGTATATTTATCATTATTATTGATTGTCTTTTACCATTTTCTTGTCACCATTACTATTGATTTAGAATTTTCATACTCTTCATTTAAAATTGCACAACTTATTACATCTATATGAATTAATTCATAACACTTTTCTAAATTTGGAATTGATTCATTGGATAGAATTTCTCCCTTAACTTGTTCAAAACATCTAATGTTACAAGAAACATGTGAATCCTTTCTTATTGAATTGACTTTTTGTATGCATTGGTATCCTTAAATTCATTCATAATTACTTTATCTTGGTAATCTAATTCTTGAAATATCTCTGTTAATTCAACATAATATTTTAAGAAAACATCCAAGCTGGAATACTACAACATTCCTAACATCTTTGCCTGGATTCATAAAAAGTGGTCTCCAACTTAACAGTAAGGCACTGATATGACCGCTTATAATTAGGGTTGAAATTGCTGGATGCCATTGTCAATGTGTTTCCTCTCTTATTGCATCTTTGGATTCACGCTTAAACAAGTGGTGTCAACATCATTGTTTCTATTCGGGATTGCATGCCGAGTATCCTTACGTCTAATCCAAATCTAATTATTCATTTCTACACTATCTGTTTCCAAGACAATGCAAATTGCCATTCTTTGTTCATAAATGTAATAAACAATCATTATCGTTGCCAGAGTGAATAATTTATTACCATTTATGCTTTATTTGTTTCGACAGTCAAATGATGGAAGACAAGATGTACTAATTTTTTATTTATTTATGTTGAACACAAAAATTATTATAATTATTTCGTAAATATTTTATTATAATATTAGTAAATAATTAAGAAATAATACTAAAGTTATAAATATAAAAATAAATAAATTTTATCTAATTTGTCGTCTTTTATTCAATTGAAAATTTTAATTTATTTCTACATACTTTTATTTATTTATTAATCTTTCATTTTCCATCATATAATGTAAATAAAATATTAAAAATTACTTAAAATATATTTCATGTCATTTACTTCATAATAATTATTTTGAAGGAAAACTCTTTATTAAATGATAACATAAAACTGTTTTATTATGTGTATGGTTATAAACTCTTAAAAAAATAATTTATTAAAAGATAATATTTATATTATTTAATATATTTATAAAAAAAATAAAAGAATGTATTGGTTGATGAGTTGTTACTTGTAAGGCTGTAGGCATAATTTACTTTCCACTCCATGGAACAAGTTGAGGTTATGACGTCCACTCAAGTACTACAAATAATTAATTTAAATCGTATAATGATTCATGAAACAAATTAGGGCAATGAGGCACGAACATATAGTGGGATTGGGCTCTTTCCTTTACACCAACCATGCAACAATTGTTGTGACTAAGAATGATTGATTGTCTGAAGATAGAACGCATTCACGTTTGTCTTCATTCTCTTTAATGTAAAGGTTCCGTCATCCATCCTCTAATATTGGTTTTATACTTCTCTGTTTAATATGCAACATTTTTCCTAACCTCGATTATGGTAACTCAGAAAAGTGACAAGTACCTTATGTCTGTCTAAGCATTTTTAACAATATTTGTTACTTCAACGATTCTCCTTACACCCCTAGATCAAAACACTCCATGTAAGATTAATCCACAGTGGTAAAAAAATGTGCAGTTATATAAAAAAACTTGTAAAAGTATTTTTGAATTTTTAAGAAACATCTTTATTATCTACTTATTTATATAAGTTCCGTAAAACATATCTAAGCCCTTGAGTGTAATCACCAATCCATAAAACCAATGGATTCTGATTGGTACCCAGACAAAAAAACATAGATACCAAACTATATTTTACAGAAGTCACCGGGAACCGGCGCTTCCCGTTCACGTGCCAATTCATGAAGCAGGGGGCGCAATTTATCTTTCCAAAATTGTGCACCACATTCCCTTCCCTTCTCGCTCCTCTTCATTTCAACCACCACCAGCTCCTCCGTTAACCGGTACACCACCACGAGACCTATCAAATTACCATCTTGCCCTTCCAACTTCGCTCCACCACCATTCCCCTCCCTCTTCACCACCACCCTTCCCTCCTCCGCCGCCGCCTCCACCCTCTCCATAACATTCTCCGGCGCCGCCGCGGAAACAACCCGTTCCACCGAGTCTGATCCGTTCGGATCCTCGAAAAGACTCGACATGTCCAACCCGGTCGAAAATGAAATTAGGTCAAACGCGTTCAAGGATTTGAACCCGGTTCGGCTCTCTCCACAGGTGCACTTACTCTCCTTGACCAGAACCGGGTCGTACAGGTCCTCACCCGCGTTGAACCACGTGTCCTGGTAGATATCGTCAACGGTGATCCTGGTCTCGGGATTCGTGTCCAGCAAGCGTGATAAGAGAAACCTCAGATCAGTAGACATCCACCTAGGGAACCGGAATTGACCGCGGTAAATCTTCCTGTACAAAACGGTGATGTTGTAATCATTGAAGGGTAAATAACCTGCAGTAAGCGCGAACAAAACGACGCCGCACGACCACAGATCCACTTTCGCACCATCGTAGCCTCTCTTCACGAGAATCTCAGGTGCCACGTAGGTAGGGGTCCCACAGACCGTGTGTAACAACCCATCGGGTCGGATCTGACCCGTGACGGCGCTCAACCCGAAATCGGAGACTTTCAAACTCCCGTTCTCGTCGAGCAGGAGATTATCGAGCTTGAGGTCGCGGTGGAACACGCCGCGCGAGTGGCAGTGTTTCACGGCGGAGATGAGTTGGCGGAAGTAAAACCTGGCGGCATTCTCCGCGAGCCGGCCCTTGCGGGCGACCTCGTGGAAGAGTTCGCCGCCGCCGGCGAACTCCATGACAAAATAGATTTTCGTCTTCGTCGCCAGGACTTCGAAGAGGTCAACGATGTTGGAGTGACGGAGGCGGCGCATGATAGAGATCTCGCGTTCCACGTTGGCGGTGAAACCTCCGTTCAATACCTTGCTTTTGCTCACGGCCTTCACCGCCACACTCTGGCTCGTGTCCAGACTTGTGGCGTGGTACACCTTGGCGAACGCGCCAACTCCCAGTAACCTCTTCAACTCGTACTTGCCGAACAAAACGACGCCGGATGACGCGCCGTCGTTTTTGGTTGCTAGTTCGGTCGCAACGGTGTCGTTCTGCTCCTCTCTCATGGTTGGAGAAACTAATTAACTAACTAACTAACCAACTCACTCAACCTGAGAGAGGAGTTTGGTGCAGTTCAGGAGTTGAGAGAATATAAAGCGAAGTGGATTTGTTGTGGGCGTAGGTTTGGGGTTGCCGCAATGGTTATTGATAATTGGACGTTGTGGTTTTTCCGAAGGGATTTGCATAAATCTTATCTAACAAGGAACTTCAAGAACCACTAAAAGGAATGAGTGGAGTTGAAGTGTGTTTGGGACAAAGGAAAAGAGAACAATCGATGTGGTGTTGTCTTGCGTTGTAGAGCCTGCAAAGGAGTATGGCTATTTAAAGATGCTCACACTTTCCGTCAACTACACAGTTCCTTTCCTATCTTATTTTTTTCCCTTTTATTTATTTTATTATTTAAAAAGTATTTTCAATCAATAATGTAAAATGTGTTAATTTCATTGGTTTTTTCAGTGGTGTTTGAATAATTCCCTCCTAAATGATTGTACAGTTGAATAAAATTGGTGTTTGTGGTAGCCAAACAGGATTTAATGATGTGAGGGGAGTGCGAGACAGGGCGTGATGAGTACACAAGATTATCAAACGTGAAGCGATTAGTATTTAAATGGAGGAGTATATGTATAGTGTGATTTTCCAAGAGGAAAATTGGTGCGTAAGAAAAGCAACGTTGCATGGTTAACATCATATTAAACCATTTACAATGCATATATTGGCTTTAGTTGTGTCTCACACAAAAATAATTAATAATCAACGTTAGAAGTATTAACGTGGAGCACGTTAAAACTTCAAACATAAGATTATTTTTATGCACCGACATTACTAGTAATAACCTAACCTACTCGTGTTCAAAGAAAGATTATTACAGCCGGAAAAACACGGGCCCATCTGTTTGTATGTTTTCTCAAGGATTTTTTTTTTTTTTAATTATTCGAAAAAATCTACGAAAACTATCCACAATAGAAATATATCCAAAAAATTATTCTAGTGTTTTTTCCCTTTAAATTTTTTTTATAAAAGAGCAAGATTATATATATTATCACATGTAGTGGTTGGTATCCCTACTCAATAATATTGAGTTTTATTTTAATATATGTCATGCATTCAATAAAAAATAATCTATGAAAATTAAATTATAAATTTAATGGGAGAATATGAGTAAGCAATTTTTCGTAATACTTAAAACAAACAACTACAACTATAATAAATTTATCTGTTAACCAAATTTACGGTAATATAGTTCTCCAAGAAAGAATTAGTGCACACTATAAGTAATATATATTGTACACGGACTAACATATGCATCTCCAAACATGAATTGGTAACGTGAAGTGGTAAACTACGATAACGTATCAGGCAGAACAATTTTTTCAAGTAAAATTATATATATTACATATATAGTTAAAAAAATGAAAGCTGAAAATCACACACAATTGGTTTATTTAAATCTAATTAAACCATTTATTAATTATAATTATATGTCATCAGATTTATTTTGTTATCGATTGAACTATCGCCGGCTGCCATATGATTATTATAATAAATATCAACATAAATAAATGTGCTAACGTAAAATTTATGTAAAATGATTATGATGTGTGACTTATTTTTTAATTTAGTTGTACCTAACCTAACGTGCATATTGTAATAATCTCTGAGGTATATTTGTAGGAAGATAATTGCACAGTACAGAAGAAGTGACGTACAAATAGAAGAGGTGGAAACCTATCATGAATGTATATTAATTTTTGTCACCTTAGTTAGACATATTGATTGTTAGTTGTTAGAATGGGGATCAAGGATATCTTTAGCTTGTCATGAATATTAATGGCGTGGTAGGATTTGTAATATTAAATTCCATTTCATTAAACAAAATCTCAAATTTAAAGATATGATCCAGCACATCAATCACGAAGACAAAGAAATTTTTTTGGAGATAACTTGAGTGGTCCTTGGCTCATTAGGAGACCCATATCGTACAAGTTCCTCACATCACATGTTACTCATCGAAATTTCCAGGAAGATAGTGTAATAGAAAAAAAACAAGTGGAGCGTTCACAAGTTTTCAAAGGCCAAGTCGTTGTCATGCATAAATCCAAGCAGAGTCTGTATGAATGTTCAGCTTTTGCTGAACCGCAAATTCAAGTGCTTCCTCATTAAATTTTAAAAAGGAAACTGAGAAAACCGTGTAGACAAATAAATAAGATGAGAGAGTCACATAGGGAAACTGTAAGAATTTGGTAAAGTATTGTTCTTTAAAAAAAAATGAAGAGAGAATTTAATAAGGTAAAAGAAAAATATTTATAACAACAAAAACATGTATCTTAAAGAAAGAGACATACCATAAAACTCCTTTTATTCTTAAAATGAGGACTCTTTTAATATCACAGGGTGGAGCTCGTATTTTTCCCAGCAGCACATTAACAAAATTTGTTTTCATTCAATCTGTTTAGATATTTTCTGGCCTGTCAGATTTGAAAGGGAAAAAGTTAGGTTAGTGTACTAGGAGCTATAGATTTATGGACTACTCTTAAAAAGATGGGGTACCAAACTTATATCTCTCAATCTCACTCTCCATTCACGCCACACATAGGTAACAAACGACATTAACCTAAAATCAGAAAAACGTGACTGACATAAATGAGATATACATCTCAAAACTGGGAAGAAAATGACAATTTGTTGACGGATTACGTGACACTTACACAGAGGATATAACAGTTAGTAAGAAGTTTGTGGTCACAGAATAAAAGGTTTACACATAGAGCAACAATCTTTTTTCTCATATAATTTTCTTAAATGTTTGAGCAATGTATGGCATTATATTTTCTTTGTACTATTTATGACCGTGTTACAAATAATTAGCTAGAGTTAACTATTTGTAATTACTTCAACCCTTAGAGAAGATATAATGCAGTTCAATGGTGGAAACTCACGAGTGTATTAAAAGATATCCTAAGTCTCAAGTTAACTAAAAGAGTCTTAAAAAAAATTATATAAATAAAGATAACTCTCTTTTTTGGACATTTGATTTTCTAGTATAAATTATTCATTATTCGATTAAATAAATATATATACAAGATACATAATGAAACATTTAAACACTAGGTTGATTCTTTTATTTATTTTTACTGTCAAACACAAATTTCTGGATTTATATGCTATCAACATCAATTATTTGATAATTAAAATACAATATATTTCTATTGAAGACCATTCACTATAATTTAAATTTTTAATATAATTTGTAACATTTAAGTAAATTGTGAGAATAGTAAAGGTACAATAAAAGTAAATTACTAGAAAATAAATGTTCAACAAAAGATAAAGGTAAAAAAAACTAAATTACATAAACATAAATATAACTCATTACTACAAATAAAACTGTGAACATAAAATAAGTAAGATGTTTTCTGAATTGTAATCTTAAAAAATCATTCTTTATTTTAGAAGATTCCATTATTAAATAGTTTTGTAAAGGAAAAAAAAAACTACTCCCCTACTCTTCCATAACTCATGGGCTGTTTTCCTAACAAATTGGGTAGCTAATATTTAGCTCCCTCAATAGCATAAGACCGTTTATTTATTTAACCACAAAATTAATTAAATCAGAAACATAAATCTGCAAATAAAACATAAATCCACTAACAATCCCTCCCTTAAACTAAAAGGCTTAAAAGTTTTAGTTTACTTTTGATGCTTCAATCATGCCCAACATACCCCTAATCTTCATAAATTGCTCAAGCTTGAGTGACTTAGTCATTATGTCAGCTATTTGATTTTGGGTGTTGTAGTGGCTTAACTTGATTTTACGATAAGATCTCTTAAGAAATGAAATCTAACATAAATATGTTTGCTTTTGCCATGAAATACTGGATTTTCAGATAACTTGATAGCTGAATTATTGTCACACAGAATTAGAATGTGTTTCTGTTCTTTAAAACCAATGGTCTCCAAAATTCTCATGATCCATATGCATTGACATACACATGAAACTACAACTATGTATTCTGACTCTAGTAGATAACGTCACTATTGACTGTTTCTTGGATGACCATGAAACTGCACTAGTCCCTAAGGAGAATATGAATCTTGATGTGCTCTTCCTATCATCTATATCACCTGCATAATCACTATATGTATAAGCCACTAGTTTTATATCTTCTCCTTTTTTGTAGAATATTCCAAGCTCAGTAGTACCTTTTAGATATTGTAGGATTCGTTTGATAGCATTCCAATGAGTCTCAGAAGGATTAACCATGAATCTGCTAATTAGACTGACCACATACATCAGGTCAGGTTTGGTTGCAGTCATATATATAAGACTTCCAATTGTCTGTTTGAAGAGCATGGCATCTGCCTTAATTGTTGTATCAATTCTGGATAACTTGGTTCCTGGAATTATTCGGTTCTTTACTGCATTGCACTCCGTCATATTAAATCGAGTCAATACTTCCTGGGCATATTTTTGTTGACATACGAAGATACCATGTGTATTTTGAAAAACTTCAATTCTCAGAAGATACCTCATCTCCCCAAGTTAGTCATGTAAAACACCAACATCATAGAATCCTTAAACTCATTACACACGCCTCTATCATTTTCTATGTAAATTAAATCATCCACATATAGACTTACAATAAGAATTTTACCTTCCTTTGCTGACTTTGTAAACAAAGTATGTTCACAAAAACATCTTTCAAAGCCATTATGTAAGAAATATGCTTCTATTTTGTTGTACCATGATCCGCGTGTTTGTTTGAGCCCATAGAGTACCTTCTTCAGTTTGTACACCTTTTCTTCCTGCCCCTTAAACGTATATTTCCTCCTTCAACTCTCCATGGAGGAATGCATTTTTCACATCAAGTTGAAAAATGAACCAGCCATTCTGAGCAGTCGTAGATAAAATTATGCAAATAGTGTCTAATTTGGCAACTGGTGCAAACACTTTCATGTAATCCACTCCATAGTGTTATGCATAGTCTTTTGCTACTAACCTTGCTTA